ACTCATGGCAGCCCAGCTCCAGGTTGAGCTGTTGTTCAGCATCTTAGCTGTGGAGGGCAGTGTCACTGGCCCTCATATGTGGGATCCGAAGTGGGCCCTCTGGCGTCCCAAGCCAGTTCTTAACCATTGCGCCACTCGGCCAGCCCTCCTAGGTCTGCTTCTATTCCTTGCTATTAGTCATATTTTTCTGCTTCTTATGTCTTGTGATTTTTTTTTTATTGTACTGTGGACATTGTGTATAAAAGAACCATAGAGCTGGAAATCAGAGCTGTTTTCCCCTGCAAGGCAGATCCCTGAGTTCATCAAGAATAGAGGGAAGCCAGGGCTTGGTTGAAGCTTTTGTTACACTCATTTCCATTCTGATTTCAGAGATTTCATGGATCTGGTGTGTTCATTGTAGAATTCCCCCTCTAGGGCGAGTATCTGTTAAGTGCTGTGAGGCCGCAGGACATTTCTGTCTTCCTTTCAAGCCCAGCATCCCACAGCACCCCAGTGTTCATTCAGCAGCCGTGCTGCAGGGGAGAGTGGCTGGGTGTGCACGCCTCCGCAGACTCGGACTCTTCATGCCCTCCCACATGGCCATTTGACACAGTATTCCCCTGACACTCCTTCATTCTGGGATGATGGTGTCTCGGTGCTGTCCAGTAGGACTTTTGTGATAATGAAGATCTTGCTCATATGTGCTGTCCAAAGTGGGGATCTAGCCACACATGGCAGTCAAGCACTTGAGATGTGGCTAGTGTGACTGAGGTGCTCAGCTTCTAAAGTTTAATCAGTCTAAGCAGCTGTGTGTGGCGGAGGCTGCCGTGCTGACAGTGCACATTTAGAGTGTGTGTGATCTTGAGCAAGACCCCCCACTCCTATTCTGAATCTGAATGTCCTCATTTGTGATTGAATTAGGTGAGTTTTGAGGACCCTACAATATAGGAAATTAGTGTTTAAAAACAAGATTTCTATTCTGGAAGGTAAGGCCTTTGGAAGAAATTTAGTATTTTATTATCAGAAATGTATTTTTTAAAACTTACTAAATATTATTGGACTCTTGGCTCTGGTATTTATAGAATTTTTCAGAATTTCTCTTCCGTTGGTATCTGGAGAAAGGAAAGAGAGGCAAATTACTATCCCAGCCCATTTCTCAGCATGGAGAGCTGGCGAGTTTTTTGCAAGCTCATGAACACCTCAGCTGGTTACATGAAATTAACAGCCAAGAACTGGAAAAGGTAAGAAGGATTCAGTTATAAGGAGCACAGTTAAGCAGTTTTGTTTATTTAGTTTTAATTAGTTTAGTTTTTAGTAGTTAAAATACTTATAGATTATAGATTATTTTCATTATGTATCTCCTATTCATAATTTGAATATTCTTTTTGATTTATGATTTCATTGCTATTACTTCTGATATCTCAATAAAATAATGTAGTCTATTGTGAGTTAACTACTATTACAGTAAAATAAAGCACAAAAATTGTATTAACATGTAAATAACAGTTGACCTATTTTTGTATTTTTTTATAATAAATATGTTAAAATTATGAATAAAAATGGTACACAAATTAATTTCAAAGTTCTTGACAGGATACTGAAATGAATATATAATTGTTAATAGAGTAAATATTTCATATATGTCTCTTTTTCCAATAATTAGTGGGGGTGGTTGATATTTTATTGTGTAATTACTTTTTAGTATATGGTACTCATCAGTTTTTAGGTTTGCTAATATTGACCTTTCATTGATGTAGCTTGGTACTTTTGGTTGTACTTAACCTTTATTTCAACTTGAATGAGTAACCAGGACCCTATCACAGTGCTCATATTTGGTTTATTGTAGGCTCATGCAACGCTTCTGGGTTTGGCCAATACGGAAACTCGTTACTTTGCAAAGAAAAAAACCCTTCTTGGCTTGAGTAAATTGGCTGCATTAGCTTCAGACTTTTCAGAGGATATGCTACAAGAAAAAATTGAAGGTAAAAGGCATCATTTGAATAAGACATATACAAATCAGGCTATCAAGGAACTCTTATAATGCGTTCCTGCTATCATTTAATGGGATCCACTAGAAATAGGACCCATCTTGCCTTTAAAAGGAATGCTTTCTATTCAGTGTCCTTAAATAATTACTCAGTTATGTACTTGGGATTCTCTTTCTGGAGGAAAGTAATTTGTATTTTAAATAAGAATTCCTAAAGAATAAATCCAAACGATTTTCACAGAGTCCTCTAGTACCCCTTTAGTAACTCATATTCTAAGAATGAGAACTATGAAGAAGTCTGACCTTTGCTGTGGGGTCTCTTCTAGACAGTGGCCCTTCTGAGGTTGTTGGCTTCAGAATTCAAAACATTTGGTGTCATAATTGTGAAACTGTTGGGTTGTCCGAAAAGTCATGACGTATTTTTCTATGTTTTTCGTTGCAAAAATGCGTCATGACTTTTCCAACAACCCAATATTTTGTGTATATTGTACCCTGAGAAAAGAATTGAATATATTTTTATTTTTGCAAACCAGGTAGAGGGGAGATATAAATATAGAAAGAAGAATCCTGCATTATTGCATTTGAATTAGAGATACAAGATGGAATTATGGTTGTTTAAAAAATGCTTGACTCAGTCCACTGAAAAGGCCTAATAGCAGCAACACCCCAGGAGTATGAGTGTACCTAGTCCCATAGTTTGGTTTCTAAATGAGGGCTTATTGAAGAAAAGATCCTGGGGAGTCTTGTTGGGCCAGAAAGCAAGGCTTATTAAAGATGTCAACACGACATCTCCCACTGGCCTGGCCAAGTTTGGGGATAATTTGAACACCAAAAAGAATGATGGTAAAGGATTGTATTTCAGTTTTAAAAAGAAAAATCCATAAATCCACAGTGATAATCCAAAGGAAAGTGGTCAGTGAAATGCTTCTTTACCAAAAAATAATGCCAAAAACTAATTAATGTAGAAAAAATGACTGACTTGTGAAGTCACCATTTTGCAACCTGGTTCATAATTGCTCATCAAAGGACACTAAATCACTGAGTTTAGGGGTTAGTTCAGCATCTCATTGCAGAGATGTAACAGACGTCATCGCCAACAGAGAGACAAACTCACACTGCACACTTCCGGGAGGGATGTAATGTGATAGCATATGACACCACCTGCCTTGCATTTTCGCCAGAAATGTTCAACCTGAATCACGAGGAACAGTTAGCTCGGTCCATGTGTGGGGCATTTTATAGCACAGCCAACTGAGCCTTCAAGATTCAGCAGTGTGAAAGGCAATAAAACAATAAGACAGGGGCCCTTTTAGATGAAAAGAGCCCAACATGGCATGAGATTCTCGATTGGCTCCTGAATCCTCCTCCAAATAACCAGAACAACTATGACAAACTTTTTGGGACCAACTGGGGAGCTTTGAACATACTTACCATTAGATGATGTTACTATATTGATGTTAAATTCTTTACGCCCAATAATGATATTGTGGTTGAATGTCCTCATTCTTACGAGACACACTGAAGTATTTAGAAATGAAATGTCATGATGTCTACAACTTCTGTATGATTTAGGGGGAAAAGTGGGTGGGTGGATGGATAGGCGATAGATAGATACATACATACATAGGTAGATGATACATGCATACATACGTACATATGTACATACATACTCAGAGCAAAGTTGGAAAAATGTTAACAGCAGGTGTCTCAGGTATAGAGTGCACATTGTATTATTCACATTTTTCTGTAGGTTTGGGATTTTTCAAAATAAAAATTGCAGGGGGAAGTCTCCAGTGTGGTCAGGTGAAGTATATGCAGATATGGGTATGTGGTTGTAAGGCTTAGCCATAGAGTCAAGTCTCTGATGTCTGCATTCAGATTATACTGCTGTCATCTATTTACTCTTAGTAGTGGATGCAGTGGAAAGAATCTGGATAGAAATTGGATGGATCTGGTTTTAAATATTTGCTCCAACTCAGTAGCTTTGTGACCTCGGGTAGCTGATTTACCCTCCTGAACCTCAGTTTCCTCATCTATAAAAATGGATAATTGTAAGGATCAGAGACACTGTGTGTTCCTTGAAAAAAAAGGTCTCGATAAATCATAGGATTAGCATTTAACTTTTATTATTAAAATTATTTTTCACTGTTCAGGAGAATCTTTCTTTAATCTTTTGTCTTTAAGTACCAGTAGTGCCTGTTCTAGAGGTTTTGTGTGTGTTCTGCAGGCTAATAGTCTGAAAGGGGATGTCACAGTTTAGCCCACCAGGAATAGATCATGTTAATCGGAATATTTTAACAAGGCTTTATCATTTCTCATGTTTCCCTTGCTCCAGGTATCATTGGAATTCTGGTCATCATTTTGCATTTGATCAGTTCTTAGCTTTTGTTCTCTTAGCAAAAGGGGAGTATTTTCAGGTCTCAATAATTTCCTGTAGACCTTTATCACAATGTGTCTAATCATGGGGAGTATTTAAAAATAATTTTCTTTCTGGTTATATCAATAATTCCGTCTGGAAATTTGTAAATCACAGAAGGAAAAAAAAAACACCACAAAAGATAACACATCTGTAATCCCACTGCCCTGAGATAACTACTGTTACTGTTTTGTGTATCTGCCTAGTCTGTTTTCCTAGGTATGGAAATTGCACAAGAATGTTTTGTTTACCTTTTTACAAACTTGGGATTGTGTGGGATAACCCCAGTATCTGAATGAGCATGGCTGTGCTTTGCTCACTCCATTTTGCTGCAACCGCTGTGTTTGAGGCTACACAGCAGTTCTCAACCCTTTCTTCCTACAAGCCAGCACGTCCTCTTGGACAAAACGAGGCTGTGGGCTGCAGCCTGGGTAGTTTATGGGAAGGACAGGCCCCTTGCACCTCCTCCTGCAGCAGTAAAGCAGGGCTCGTTAAGAAATTGGGCTCATAATCATCCAGGCTTTGTTTCTCCTGGAATGCATTCATGTTGACTTTTAAGGAGATCATTTTCCTTAGGGAATGAAATTATACTAGAAACTCTGGTGGGAAGAAGCACTTCACTGAGTTACCATAAAATGGGACTGAGACCCCAGATTTGGGGGGCTGTGCCTCACGAAATTGCTGTCTGCTCAGGTAGATGGGGTGTATTTCCTTACCTCTTCTTTCCCGTCGGAACCGCTGCCAGCTGCTGTAATAGTTCATACAACTTGGGTCAAATCATGAATATGTTCTAGCATAGTCAGAAATCATAATAAGCAGAATTATTTTTTTATTAGTTTCAGGTGTACAAAACAATGTAATTATTAGACATGTACACCCCTCACAAAGTGATGACCCTGCTCCCCCAATCTACTGCCCCTCTGACATCGTGTATAGCTGTTATAAATCCACTGACTCTATTCCCTGTGCTGTATTCCACATCCTGTGACCATATATATATATATATATATATATATAAAATTATAGTTGACATTTAGTATTATTCAGCTTCAGGTGTATAGCGCAGTGGTAAGGCATCTACACCATCCATGAAGTAGTCTCCCTAATAAGGCAAGTGCCCATCTGACCTCCTATAAAATCTTTACAACATTATTGATTATATCCCCCAAACTGTCTTTCATATTCCCCTGGCAATACTGTGGCTACCAATTTGTGCTTTCTAATCTCCACCCTTAAAAAAATAGAACAAGCAGAATTAATAATACTCTAAGATCACTGAATCATGATAAGATTCCCTTTAGAGATATTTCTTTTTTTAAAATTCAGATTTGTTTTATGATAGCAGGAGTGAAGGTTAATTCCCCCCGCCCCCGATTTTGAATTCTAGAAATGGCTGAGCAGGAACGCTTCCTCCTGCATCAGGAGACGCTGCCTGAGGCGCTGCTAGAGGAGAAGCAGCTAAGCCTGAGCGCAATGCCAGTCCTGACCGCACCGCAGCTCATCAGCGTAAGTGCATCGCAGCCCTTGCACCCTTCCTTGGCCTCACAACAACCTCAGCGTTTCCGGCCGGGGTGGTGCAGCTCCCGCTTCCTGGTAACTCCCCGGGAATGAGCAGTTGGAAGCTGCTTGGGAGCTAGACACCAGTTACCAGAAGCCCCGCGTCCCCAGGCCTCCATCTGTTCCTGAAGATGCTTGTATGCATCATGAGATGCATTTCAGGCTCTTCTATGAGAAAAAATGGCTAAAGGACCTAGATCTAATAACCTGCAAGTGGCATCTTCACCCTTTTCCTCTGCCACATAACCCAGTCCTGAGGGCACGTCTGGGCTGTGGACTACAGCCTAGATGAGCTGGCTCTGTTGTTATATACACTTGTAACTTCAACTCTACTCTCCTTTCATTTCAAGAAGGCATTTCAAATGCAAGAGTGCTGCCATAGATAGCATCACCTTGAATTTGCTCTAATTATATTAGAAAGAATGGGAACCATCCAAAACCCCAGATTTTAGCTGTTATCACTAGCAGATTCCCATAATCGAGGTCACAACAGCCTCTTCTAATAAAGTACATACATTTTAAAATCAAAGATGCTGTTTCTGGAAGACTCACCATTATTTTGTGTATCAGAAAGAAGAAAGTAGTGCCAAGTTTACTCTGATATATCACCAATTTTACCACATTCCAAGTTCATAGATGTGAGCATTGTGGAGAAAAAGGATGCTCAGAAACAACGAAATAAAGTATCATATTTAAGTGTTGTAAAACAATGAAAACAAGTAGTAGCTTTTTCTGAAATGGTTTGAGTATTATCTTTGCTGTTAAAGGATTATATACAATCTTTTAAAATGAAATGTGTTATAGTCATGAAAAGAAGATAGGAAAAATTCAAATTGATATTTTTAATAAGGCAAGTATTTTTCTGATTATAAAATTCCAGGAAATGTGAAGGACACAGAAATGAGTATATATTCAGCTGTGATCTAACAACCAGGATAGCTGTTGGCGTGCGTTTTCTTACCTTTTAAGCAAACTGTAGACCAACTCATGCTTTATCATAGGTCTCAATTTTTAAAACTGTTTGAAAAGACATTTCAAAAGCATTCTAGCCAGCTTTAAAAGTGCAAAAGCAGCAATTTATTGCAGAGTACATTTATAAGAATACTGGAATGTGTATACTATCTTGAACTTAAGAATATAAATTTGCTGTCATCTTAAAAGTATGTAATACCAAGTTATTCAAATTAATTACTGATTGAACATATGCACCTTTTAAAAGATAGTTCATCGTGAGGTAGACGGCAGTTAATTTCCCAATGTGAGACTATTCTTTACTATAAAAGTGCCTACAGCTTAACTTGAAGGACAGTGACTCCTTTTCTCTAAATTTCTCTAGTCTTGCTTCTATTTTTACGTAAATATCTTTCCTTGCTATAGCTGTATATCTGTGAAGAAAACAGAAGAGCTAATGAATATGATTTCAAGAAGGCTTTGGACTTGCTGGAATACATTGAGGAGGTAAGTAAACTCACTTGAGATGATCATAGCAAGTACCGGAGTTATACAGCGTTTTCTGTAGACCCGAATACAGAAAAAATACCTGTTAGCCAATTATGAACGTCTTAATTAAAAAAGACTGTCTGGCTCAACTACCTCTAACTCTTGGGTTATGTACAGCTCTTTAGAAAAGCTGTCAAGCAATTTCATTTCCTGATAATTCTCACACATTCCCAGATGTCTTTTCTGTGCACAAATAAAAAATGCTGCTTTTCGGGCCGGCCTAAGTGGCTCAGTTGGTTAAGAGCTCGCTCAAGAGTGCAAGCTCTGAGAAATAGCGGTTCGAGTCCTGGCCCGAGCTGAGCAGCCGTTGAGCTGCCAACAGGTGGCAGGATGGCTCAGCTAAAAAAAAAAAAAAAATGCTGCTTTTCTAAGTCCTGAGGTATTTTTTTCCCTTTCATTTATTATGTCATTATTAGTTCCTCAGGCTGATATATTGCCTTATCAATTCTTTTTTTTTTTTAAAGATATTTTTTTATTGGGGAATTGGGGGGATGGGAACAGTGCTGGGGAATTGGGGGAAGGGGAACAGACAAGTTGCTGTCGTTTTTGTTCTTCAGTCTAGTTGTGGAGGACGTTGCTTCACTGGCGCAAGTTGGCACCATCATTGTGCTCTTCCCGGGCGAGGCGGATCAGTCGCCGGCTTCTGGATGGCCGCTTATGGCGGCTGCTGGCCGCTCACGCTGGCTGCTGGCTGCACACGGCAGCCCATGGCAACCCACTGCCACAGGGGCTGCAGCCTACGCCGTGGCCGGCGACTCACGGCAGCCCAGCTCCAGGTTGAGCTGTTGTTCAGCATCTCAGCTGTAGAGGGCAGTGTCACTGGCCCTCATATGTGGGATCCGAACCGGGGCCCTCTGGTGTCCCAAGCCAGTTCTTAACCATCGCACCACTCGGCCGGCCCTATCAATTTATTCTTGATAGTATCCACCCTCAGAGAAGCTGTGTCTCAGCCCTCTTAGAAAAAAAAAGATTATAGTGAAAACTCTGTAGATTCGTAGTTGGCCCCGCAGTTGAAAGTGGTTTGGTAGATTTTCAAAACAATTGTTGGCTTTTACGTTACCTTGTTTAAAGTCTTAACTCTCCCAAGATTTCTGACAAAATCAGATTATCAAAGAAGAATCAGAAACTAATTCATACAGCTATTAATTGGCTTACTCTTCTATGTAGTGTTAATGTTTTAAAGAAAGGGAAGTTTTTTTTAAATCAGGGTTTAATGAGAATTTTTTGTTTTGCTGTGAAGGAGGAAGCTGTAAATATCAATGATCTAAAACTGGAAATCCTTTGCAAAGCGCTTCAGAGAGATAAGTAAGTCCCCAGAGCGGGAATTTAAGGGATGGTTTGGGGAAAGTGTGCCTCAGAAATGCTGTGGGATACTCTACGTGGCTTTGTAACCTGATAATGCTGTGACACGCTGATATGTTGTGAAAGTTATAATGGTTGCATTTTAATCTTAAATTTTTCATTCAGTAATGAAAGAATAGTTAAAGGTTCAGGACTGCTGGCATAATAAATCTCTAATTTGATTTTAAAATTCAGACTGTCAGTTTTTACAGAAATACATATGTTCCTATTTTCACTGAAAAAGTGCCAATTCTGCCAAATAAGATTTGAGGCTGTGTTTTGTTATGTTATATATAAAAGTCTTTACAGTTTGAGGATCAGCCCTCTCTGGTTTATCGAGACCTCTTTTTCATGCTCACCTCCTTCCTGCAGAGGAGGACTTTTATCCATGGGAATGGTGGTGTTAGGCGGTGGTAGAGAAAAACTAGAATAGTCAGCTCCCAGGGTGGGTTGTTTCCAGGAGAAGAATTTTAAAGAGGACATAACTTGCATGCTCAAGCCTTCCCTGCTCTCTTAAGCCTTTCCCGGTGGTGGTGAGCAATGACAGCGGGGTTCTTGACTGGAGCATTTCTTCCTCTGCCTACCCCCAAGTAGTTCAGTGGTTGTTACATTTGCTCTTGGAAGGCACCCTCTCAAGCATCCGGCTCTGCCTACTTGATTCTCTTTCCTGATCATAAAATCGTGTGCTGTCATCTGACTGGAGCACCTGGCTTTTTGTTTGTCATGTGGGATAGTCCACTGATTACTATAGAGCAGTGGTTCTGTGTTTGTATTTCAGCAGTAGGTAATCGCAACTAGATAAAGAAAACTCATGTTGCACCAGAGACTGGCTGCCGTTTTATTTTCATGAAAATCAGAATCTGTTATAACACCTTGTAACTATTGCCTGTGTTCTCAAAAGATCATGCTTGGGGGTCCTCGCTGGACTTACTACTTATGGATAGAATTTTCTTGGGAAAGATACCTCCCTACTTGGTTTTGACATCAAATGCATGCTGGTTATATTTGGTGAAGTGTAGCATCTATTGGGTTGTCGGGAAAGTCATGACGTATTTTTCAATGTTTTTCAATGCACAAATGCATCATGACTTTCCTGACAACCCAATAATATCTAATATAATGACTCTAAGTATAGTCACCATTTAAAACTCCCTTAGTTAAATAATATGAAACAGAATCACAAAACTTAGACTGCCCATTCCTACCCGCCATCAGAACAAAAAAGCCACAGTAGGAAACAGATGTCATTTATTTCAGTGTATCCGTGATTTCATTTTCACATCACAATGATTTTGTTTTCTAGCTGGTCCAGTTCAGACGGTAAAGATGATCCAATTGAAGTCTCTAAAGACAGTATATTTGTGAAAATCTTACAGAAACTTTTAAAAGATGGTAAGTAGTTTGTAAATATTGGAAATTGCAACATCACACCTCAGTTTTATTTATTTATATATTTTTTTAGCTGAGCCATCCTGCCACCTGTTGGTGGCTCAGCGGCAGCTCATCCCGGGCTGGGAATTGAACCACTTGTTGCTCAGAGCTCACACTCTTGAGTGAGCTCTTAACCAACTGAGCCACTCGGCTGGCCCACACCTCAGTTTTAGAAATCTTAGAATAATGGGTCAAATGCAAGGCAGTTTAAGATTCAGTAGTGTCATACTCAGAATTAGAGAGATTTGTTTAAAATAAAGGGAGGGCTTTTTCCCTTCCCTCCAGCTGGGGGAGCATGTGGGGAAGGGGTTAGACTCTCCATCCACTTGGTCCTGGGGGCCTACCCTGGGCAGGGTCTGACTCAGGACGGATGGGGTGGATCCACATGTTGGTTGTGACGCTGAAAATATATGATAGAAGTAATCATTCCTTTAATTTTTCAATGAACTCTTACGAAGACTGAAAACTTGAAATGAGGTATAAACTTTTTTAGTATATTCCTACTAAACTGACCACGCTTAAGAAGAAATGACAGATTCTTTTTTACAAATCATTGTGGACATGTGCGCTTAAAATCACTTTAGGAACAAATAAAAAGAGACAAGAAGGAAATGTTTTGCATTTGTTTTGTACCTAACACAGCGAGCAAAATTTCATTTACTGACCAAGACACAAATATGCAAAGAAGCTGTTACGGATAAAATGCTGATTCTTGAGGAAAGATGAATTAGACGATACTTCTCACCTCTTTTCATATTAACAGCTTAACATGTGGACAGTGTTAGACCAGAGGTGAGAGGTGTTGCATGTTTTATACATAAAAACAAGTGTGGCTCATATTTATCACAACATTACTAGACATGTGACACAAAATCCAGGCAGTGTGCAAAGTCAGCCACCCGAGTGCTTACCTATCTTTTCAAATGTAAGGACACTCTCTTAATACCAACTGGAAAGAAATACACAATGAAAAAGCCATTGTAAATTCAGCAGTCCTTCTAAATGGAATTTTATTCATTGTGCTGCATTTACACAATTTGAAACTTTTTATCTATACATATAACTACAAGATACATTATTTAATCTACACAAAATGTGCCCAACCCAGTGCCTGGTACATAGCAGCAGCCACTCAATAAACTGTTGGTCTTTGAATGTTCAGAATTATTTCACAGCTTCATGGCCTCAGCTTCTCTTGTAAAGGATTCTGCTCTGCAGTCCTCCATTTTAGCATCACTGGGGAGTGAAGGGCCCTTAGAGGAGCCCCATGGAACTCACCCCCAGCCAGTGTTCTGAGGTGAAACACAAGCCAATTCTGTGTTTGTGTTCCAGAAACTCCCATTTTGGAGCCCATCTACTTTGACTTCTTCCATGCTTCCCAGATTTTTAGTCTCCTGCTGGAACTGAGTAAATGGAAATACAATTCTTTGACTGGGTTACTTGGAATGTGCTCAGAACTGACCGGGACGTTTATTGATGAAAAGTGGTGTTTGATCACTCCACATTGACAGCCTTTTCATTGTCAAAAAATAAGTAAAACTTAAAAATAAAATATGATGGCAGGGATATAGCAAAAGAAAATACCTTTTGCTTGGAAATACATGGAATTCAGAAAGAGCTAAGATGTATCTATAAGACTTTCTCTTTTCTGTATTTGGAATTTGAAGAAATAACTGAATATGCTTAATTTCTCTGTGCTTTTGGAGGTTCTCCACTTGAGATTTTTAGAAAGCATTTGGACCCAAGTCTGATGCTTTCCATGAAATTAGTTCTCAGAAAAGTGCTACAGAACTGAATTGTGGCTAATTATTTAGTGCTATTATAATTAAAGGTGACTTTGCAGCTTTTGCTATTCTTAGATTATGAATTATGGGTGGGAAGGAATCAGGAATGGAAAGTTATAATTTTATAAAACAAGTTATTAAATTTGGACCAAAAGACAAAAACAAGTAGACATGACTTTATAAATAAGTAAGTAAATATATATTCTTCATAACAAGCCAGAACATTTCTTTCTGGAACCTTCTTAATAACATGACTTCCCTTTACAATAGTAAATGTTTTTAAAGGACAGGTTCGGAAGATGGAGAGATAGGTACCCTCACGTTCTATTTCATAGGCCTTGTCAGCCAACAGTTACTTCAACCGATGGAAAAAATTCGGCCTGCACATATATTTAAATTGTCCACAAGCAGTGTTTCAGTTTGTTTTCTCGTGTTATTAAAGTACATACAGAGCAAAATGCACATATCAGTACCTGGACTTTAAAATTCTTCTAATTCGTCACCAGCATTTAATAGTTGAGAAGAGTTCTTGCAAGTCTTATTTTCTGACTTCTCTTGAAAATCGAAAGATGTGCCTACCGCAGGCTGGAATGTTTATCAGCAGACTGCGCGCAGAGCTGTGGAGGGCTGCCCTCTGGATGGGTGGTGGCCGTACGTTTACCGAGACCCCAAGCCCCATCCTCAGGCTGCCCCTGCCAGACCCTCGCAGGCGTTCGAGTTGTGGCCCCTGCTCTAAAGGAAAGAAAGGAACCATCAAACTTTAGGTCCACACAGAAGGGGTGTACTGTAAAAACAGAAGCCAAGGAAGATGTTAGTTTTTTTTTAGAGATCTTTTAGAAATTACAAGTGTAGCACTACAGAGAAAAAGTCGGTTGAAAGTGTGTTAATTGTAATAAATGATATATAATTTGGATTTAGCCTCGTAACATTTATTAATCCAAATTTTTATTGTATTACAATTAAATACAAAAAAATGGTGCTAAGCATTTTGAGGGTGTTAAAAAAATAACCCAGTGTTTGATTTTGAGAACCTTATGGTAATGTAACAAATTATAAAATATTACCTTATTAATTTAAAATTTTTCCTCTAGTTTTCTTTATCAAATGAGAGAATTGTACACAGCCTTTTGTAACTGCCCTGCTCTCAGTTGAAACAACCCATTTAATCAGTGCTCACTGGCTTCCCGGCTCCATAGAAAACTGATGAAGAAATGGTTCCCTCATGTCCCTAACTGTAGGTTTAAACTTCAATGCATTTGGAGATACTGTAGCTAGCTTTCATGAAAGTATTTCTCCTATATCATTTCCCAGGTAGGAGAATATATAATTGTTTGAAATACTTGTTCTCAGGTGATTATTAGTTAAAAACTTCCACATTGGAAGAATGACTTAAGCTGTGGAGAAAAATGAAAATATTTCAGATTTTATTAAACTTTAAATAGATTGCCTGTTTTCACCAATAGGGGAAAAGCACTCAAACAGCTTGTGCTAAGAATGTCCAATTGTTAAATCTGGTCATCTAACAGTTGGAAAGAATTTTAAAAAGTGTTTCCCAGTAGCAGAGTGACATTATAGTTTAAATAGCAGCACAGGTGTTCTTACCATCAGTCATCCTAATGCGTCTGTGAGTTTGGTGAAAGTACAGTAAAACCTGACTCTGTTTGTTTTAGGCATTCAGCTCAGCGACTACCTGCCAGAGGTGAGAGACCTCCTCCACGCAGATCAGCTGGGGAACCTGAAGTCCAACCCTTACTTTGAGTTTGTTTTGAAAGCAACTTATGAATATTATGTCCAGGGACAAATGTAACTTTTTCTAGGACTTGTCATAGTTTCTGAAAATTTGTATAAGCACGTCCTTATAAAAACTTTAGGCCTTAAACGTCTAGAGGTCTGTCCAGTTTTATGGCGTGCTGCTGTGTTTTTATACTTTATTTGGAAGCTGCTCCAGTTATTGGGAGTGGTTTTGGTTTCAGCTACATGATGTTTTCTTCTCCTTTTTTCCATCTGAAATTCATTAGTTGTCTCCATCCTCAGGACCCTGTTCACGCTCACTGTGCCCAGGGTTCTGGAGTCCTTGTCTCAGTTCTGGCTACTTGTGTGCACGTGTCACTTCTAGGTATTAAAGCTCCTGGTATTAAAATGACAGGATCGCCCTGGGTTGTCTCTGAAATTGCTGTGACTGGCTATCATGCACTGACGGGATCGAGTGTTTGGCATCTGTTTTGATTAGGACTGGTAGGAAGTATTTAGTGAAGTTTTGTAAGTCATAGGACTAAAAGACAAAACAGAGTGGGCGTAAATCATGTGAGTTTGATTACTGATTCATTCATTGGGAAAATTTTAACTTGTACATAAACAATAGAGTATTAATGAAAGTATTTTAGTGAATAAAACATTTACGTGGCTTTCTAACCTATCCCTAAGTTGCCATCTAATAAGTTTATAGTATTAGCGTTAGTTACCGTCTTTTAGTGTGGGGCTTCAGTCAGCTTCATGTGTTTCCAGGATGATTTACACCACACTCCAGCTTTACGGCACTCTGTCTAGCTAACGTAAAGCATGCGTAATGCTGGAAACCATGGCAGGTTTTCTCACTGTGGCAGCTGGTTTCACTGAAAAGCAGTGGTTCTCAGCACTTCTTTACCCTGACCAGTGTTGTCACCTGGTTTTATCCAGCTTTAAATAAAGACCAGAGAGTGGACAGGGAGCTGCTGGCAAGGACACCTTCGCCCGGTTGAGAGGGCACGATCATCTTGTAGCTGCTGAAGGTCAAGGTTAAGTACGGTGCTGATGGCCCAGTTTCTGGGCTCAGATACAGCCGTCGTCATCTCCCTCTGCCCGTTTGAAGCAGCCTCTGTTCACGAGGTGGTGATGAGTTGGTGATGACGCTGCTTCCATGAGTCACCAGGGAGGGGAACTGCCAGCGTGCTCCCTTCTGTTCACGGCGTGCTTGTTGGCACAGCTTAGGAATATAGTGAAGGCTTCTAAGGAGGTGGAGGGGAACTTATTAGATGGCCGGGAAGAAGTAGGAAAAGCGAAATTAGGCCCAAGATTTTGAATACTTTTCTCTCCAAAATTTTTTAAAATTTGCTTTACAACATAGCCTTTATCAGACAATCATTGATTTTTAGATAGAGTATTGATCATGACAAATTATGAAGGTGAGCATTCCTAAGGAAAGAGGAACGTTTCTGACGTGGAAGGTCTTTCTTTTTACTCCTGTCTGAATGCTGTTCAGAAAGGCAGTTTGTGTCTCTGAGTTGAAGATTATGGCTGTGTCAGGGAGAGGAGCTGGCAGGTGTACCTGTGTCAGGGAGGAGCGGGTGGGTGTACCTGTGTGTCAGGTAGAGAGAGAGGAGCAGGCAGGTGTACCTGTGTCAGAGAGGGAAGCAGGCAGGTGTACCTGTGTCAGGGAGGAGCGGGTGGGTGTACCTGTGTGTCAGGTAGAGAGAGAGGAGCAGGCAGGTGTACCTGTGTCAGAGAGGGAAGCAGGCAGGTGTACCTGTGTTAGAGGAGCGGGTGGATGTATCTGTGTCAGGGAGAAGCGGGCAGGGGTACCTTTGTCAGAGGGAGGAGTGGGCGGGGGTACCTGTGTGTCAGGTAGAGAGGAGAAGGCAGGAATACCTGTTTGTCAGGTAGAGAGGAGCAGGTGGGGGTACCAGTGTGTGCCACATGTTGAGATACACAGAACCGAGGTGAAAGACCACTGGTATCTCTTTGTAGGGACTCTGTTTTTGAAGAAAGCTTTACAAACTGGATTGTGGTTCATTTTTCCCCTGGGGAGAACGTGCAGGCTGGGTGGGAGTCGGTGTACAGCCAGGGCTCCTTCCAGGGGCATGTCCTGACGTCAGACCTATGTCTGACTGTTCTCATCCAACACACTGCGCATTTTCAGGCTGACAACTACAAATATGCATTTTAGTAGTTTAGCCTCACCTGCTCATTACTGGCCATTTTATTGGGAGAATAGCTTTACTATTCCGATATAATTCTACTCACTGAATACCAGAGTACATTTTTTTAAAACAACCCATGTAATTTTAATATTTTTAAAATGCTACAGAAAATGTTAAACCTACTTAAAAACAAAAGTATATGAAAAAAAAGAAAGCTGTTTAATTCCCTCAGCCAGGAGTAGCTTTGGTCGCCATTTGGATCACGTGCTGTTATATTTTGTGGCCTCCTACTGATTGACACTGAGCATGTCTGTGTACCTTAATCCAGGATGGTCAGTCCTCACTCACCGTTGACAGGTTCTTGGCACTACCATGAAATAATGTGTAAGGAAATCAGTTTTGCCAGATATAAGTAACAGTTCAGTTTCTTCGGCATCTCATTGACATCATAAATGCCATTCGAGGACCTGCTGTGTTTCTGAGCCTTTTCTTATCATTCCTCTTTAGATGGTGTTTTCCTGACCACTCTGCCCTCCCACCTCCCATAAAAGTTTAAGACCACAGGTAAACTATGTATCTTTCCATGGACTGTGGCCTTTGCAGACCACAAATCATTGTAATATCTAAGATTTTTACCCCCTGAGAGGCACTCCCTCCCCCTGTGAGGTTGCATGCTTTCAATATTCAAGGTACAGTTTTTTAATGACTGCATGACACTTGACCATATGGCTGTACTGTAATTTATTTAACATCCCCTGTCTCTCAACAATCTTAAAACACTTGGGTTAATAGTTTGGGATTGGTTTGGGTTTTGTTTTGGCCTTCTATTTTCATACTAGAATAAATCTTTGTACACGCATCTTCGTGTGCCCCAAATCCATTCAAAATGACATTAACTCTTCCTGTTTGTGCTGTGCGTTCGGTGAACAGTTGCAATATTTACTGTCCTTTGCTAACCGCTTCTACCACCTCACCCCTCAGCTCCTCCAAGCAGAAGAAACATACTGTGCCGTTCACTGAGAGCCTCTTCCACCCTAGGACTTCCCTAGTTTGAACCTTCCAATCAGCCTTACAGAGTAGGTGGTGCCCTCGGCTGAGAATGCTGAGTCTTCCTGCCCAAGGTCACAGCCAGACTGAAGGGAGGTACACCAGATATGCCTTACTCCAAAGCGCAGGCTTGTCACCATCTTGGCATACGGGTGTGAAAAGGTAGGGGGTGGGGGAGTGATGATCGGGCCCCTAGAGGTGGCCTGGGCAGAGCGAGGCCCACAGCAGATCTCAGCCCTCCTCTGACTGCCCAGGGTCCACCTGACGTAGGTGTGTGGCTTGGCACGAGGAGGAGTCCTGTCCTCTGTGCACCTGGTCACCGGGGCATTGCTGATGGACTGCTGCCCGCCCACCCCGTCGCTGCCCCGTTTGAGAGGGTGGTTACAGATGAAGCCATGACCTTTGGCCTTCCATTGGAAAAGCTCCCTTGGGGATGTTTCCAGAACTGCACCACGTGTTGGGAAGATTAAAGGAAGAGAGGAGCAGAGCAGTCTTTGCCCGCCCTGACCACTGGAGAGGAGGGCTGCCAGGTGGTCTTCCTCACTGCTGCCGGCTGAGGCTTGGTCTTCTCAGCTTTACAAGTGCAATGAATAGAACCCATCTTACTTAACCTCTGGAGGGTTAGAAGGATGAAAGGAACAACATGAAAGCATATTAAGTGTTTACAAATTCATGTTGAATTTGCTAGGCAACACGCTAGAAGGTCGATACTGAGCAAGACAGGAGGGGGGGCGGGTGCAGGTCTGGGGACTGGAGGGGACAAGGCTGGACATGGGAGGCACACGCACACTGGCCGCCTTGTAGCAGAGGGCCCTGTCGAGAGCGGAGGCTGCGCCTGGAAGCTTAGAAGCAGGCGCTCCGTCAGGCATTCCCTCCAGTGACCTTGTTAGCAGCTGGTCCCAGAAGGAACTGGAGGCAGCAACCCGCTTATGGGGCGAGAGCACTGGTGTGTTCCCCAAAGGCGGGCACGAATGGAGATGGCTTTTCCACCTGCTTGTCAAGTTTGCTCCCTAAGCCAATGAGAATTCAAGACCAGACGGGGCTGGAAGCAACCCTATGGCAAAGGCTCCGAGACTAAGCGAGCCCCCGCTGCCTAGAGGGGAGTGAATGTCTGGACCCTTCTTGGGCCCATCTTCCCAAGGTTTGCACACTAAACTCTTAGCTGTCAGTTTTTCTTCACAGCTTTGTGTGTGTTTGAATAGACTATGAGCTTAGAAAAGCTTGCGATAGCAGAGAGAAGAGTCACACTGAGCAAGAGTAATGGAAAATATTAACAGTCCCATTCCCTTTAAAATGTCAACAAATAGGTATTGAGTGAATGGCAGCACGTTTCTTCCTGCCTTTAAGACCTCATTTTAAGCTGCTCCCTTATATTGTACCTTTAGTGCATTTGCCAGGCTATTTTTTTCTAGCACTTCCACTACCGACTGACAGGGCAGGACAGCAGGTACTGAAAATGAAATGTAGCTCTCAATTTTTGAAATAAATGTAAAGGCTAAATGTGAAAGCATGATAGCTTTTACCTGACCCTTCATGCTCACTATAGGCCCTATACTAACAAAACCCATTTTGTAATTGACTTTGGTCATTTTTAGGAAATGCTGCCATGATGTGGGCTACAGAGGAGGGTTACATATGCCTTTATATTGCTCAGATCGCACACCTGTCCCAGGTGCCAAGTTCCACTACCAAATGGGAATTGCATCTATTTTGGGAACACTTAAGCACATAGAAAGATGAATGATTCCATTCTGGCTCATACCACATCACTGATGTACCCCCTGAAAGCATGCCACTGAGTTCATCACAGAAAATTGTTTCTCCTTGTGCCTTCTACAGCAAGGCTGTCCTGGGGGAAAATCTGAGAGGCACCAAGTGGATGACCTCCTGTGACCCCCCCCCCACTCCACCTTACCATAAGTAGATCCAAATGCTTCTAGAAAATGTGAAAGGCATATCCCATGCATCAGTGGTATAAATAGCAGCACTCTGCAGGCTCTGGTAGGTGGTGACTCCAAGGTGGACTGGGAAGCAGCCCTGCCTTGGCAAGGTGTCACCCTCTAAATACAAAGATGAGTTAGTTCAGCCTTTGCAGAAGGAAAAACGACCCATCCTAGAGTGCACTGTCCTCGTCCTCTTATTGAGGGGAGGGACAAGCGCGGCTTCATCTAGTAAGGGCACTTCACCTCCATGTTGTGTG